CAAGGCCTGGACATTTACTATTTGTGACAATGGTAAATGAGCTCACGAGTGGAAGGAATACATTCGTTCGTTCGCTTATTATTATTAGGTATATATCTAGAAAAGGGTATGTATATCGCTGGAAACTCAGAGAGCGTTTTATGTTGTTAACTTATTAAAACATTAATTAATCAAGCTGCGGGCAGTTCCAGGAAGGACGTTTCGTTGAAGAATGTGATCTTTCGCTTTCATTTCTGAGAATGTCGCTAGTTATTCCGTGGAGGGAAACTACAAGAAGACCTTGTTAATATATATATTCATGTATCAGTGCTACGCAGTTTACAAATATGCATACATGAGAGTATAATAATTAAACGGTTGCATGCAGTCACTTCGTTCATGACATGGGCCATATGGCGTTGCCGTTGTACAATGTACACTATAGTATACTATAGTAAAATAATATTTTTCTTATGTACCAGCGCAGTATTTTATTAGGGACCTTAAGCATGTACGACGGCAACGCGACGACGACAATCAAAACAAACTTCAAATAAATTATTGCGAAGAAGGGTTGTTATGTATTATCCACTGCATATGAATTGAATTCAGTTTGAAGAGATGAAAACAAAGGCTTTATTGTTAAAAACGCTTCTGCTGAGCAAATTTGTAGTTTTACTTGTCGCGTCTTGACATGTTTGCGTTGTACACGAGACGTGAAAATCTCTGGTTTGCCGTTGTAAAAAGCACTAACACAACGTCTCTAACTCCCGTGGGGCTTTTAATTATTCATTTCTTTTGTACGAGATAAGGAATATCATTATGTGAATAGCCGTCGTCGTCGCGTTGCCGTCCTGTTTGCTTAAGAAGGTCCCTATTAACATTCAGTAAAACCCGCCGTATATATATATATATATATATATATATATATATATATATAATATATATGAGAACAAACTCTGTGTACTATAGAGTCCCATGAAAATCAGAAGTGAAACTGAAAGTGGTAACAAAGAAAAAGGCTTGCCTCGTTGGTCCGTTATTTACGACAGCATATATTACAGCTCAGTGCAAACATTTAAATATTTTTATTTGAAAATCAAAATTTCTGCGCAACCTCATCAATTCATTATTTGCTCTATATTTGCTCTCTCCTATAAAACGCATTATGTGTTATTCTTTCAACGGTTTTGTAGCAGCCGCGATTTTCGGCTGATAGATTTCCAGTGTTTTCACGCCCTTTTGGAAACATTCATATTTAATTAGGCCAAGCTAGCAATACCAAACCGCTTGGGGCGCTCTGTTGTTTTTGCGTATTTCGCCAGATATATCAGTCGGTTCGTTCTGTCATAAATATTTGTAATTAGATTGTGTGTGTATACCTCTATTTCTGTCCAGTATTCCATAATTCATATTTATATCCGTGTAATTCTCCTGTATTTGTATTTAGCACCGCTGTTGATTGAGTAAATAGTAACATAAATAGCAAAGGCTTTGAAACTCGAGGCCCCACAACCAGTTTAATTATAAGTAATAGCATAAAAAGAGGCGAATTAGCTATTAAAACGTCCCGCCCGATGAGGGTCGTTTAGTAAAATTCCCTTGGGCGCCGCTCGATGAGGGTCATTTAGTAAAATTCCCGAGGGCCGTACGACCCTCATCGGGCGGGACGTTTTCAGTAGCTAATTCGCCTCTTTTTATGCTATTGCCTTATAATATCATGATTGCGGGTATTCCCGTTGTTCTCGCAAGGCCATTAAAAACCAATTAACAATAAATAATGGTATAAATTAAATGGTAGAATTGTTTTCCATGTCT